CATGCGTAATATCGGAGGTATGATTTCGCAGTAAAATTTCATTATGTCGAATACTAACCAAACGAAATTTTCATTATTTGATTATGAATCCCCAGCGAACATCCACATTAATTCTGGAACGTTAACAAGAAGTAATCACCAAATAACATAATATAGTTTTATATGTAATATCAAGGGATCTTGTTAGCAATCGTTAAGATAACCAAAATATAATGCAAAAATAATTGCTATTTTATCGAAACCTTCTTGTTCACGTATAATATAATTATTTGAAACATAAAATTCTTAAAACTTGATGTATGTCAAAATATCATTATGTTTAATATAATTCTTAACAAAGTATACTTCTTCTATAGGTATATCTTTTCCCATTTTTTGTTCAACATTTTTCTATATCATGTTTCATACGTGTTGTATTTCTACTTCATTCCATGACATACACGTTATCACACACAGACAAGTCAATGTCTGTGGTGAATGTCGGCTCGGCCAGGTGTGACATCAAGGTCCACTGAGCTAGCATAGATCCCGCGTTAGTCGGCATTTTTCCAAGCGACTTTACGTAAGGGGATTAAAGCGAAATCGAGCTTTAAATTGATAGACAGAGAGACAGAGAGATAGAGAGAGAGAGAGAGAGAGAGAGAGAGGTAGTGCCATTGATCGGAGTCGGTTTCACTTAAATCGCCGATGATGCATGCTAACTGGCAGTCGCGCCCATTAGTGATCGATCTCCCGAGCAGAGATTGTCTATAGGTCCATACATGACCACGATGCTCGTAATTGGCTTCATCGGCATAACCAGCTGTTGTGTCTGGCGTCTTTCATCATTCAAACGGAACAGCTTGTTCCTTTACAGGCTCAGCAGATATATGAAAGTAAGAAGCTAATTATAGATTTATAAAATGAAATTTAAGTATAAATTTTCTTCCACACATAAAGAAAATTATAAAACTATTAGATAGTAAGCTAGTTTACTTAATTGAGTTATTTATTTATTTATATTTTTATAAAAGATTATAGCTTTTGTGTAATTATTTACACCTCTCTTTATTATGCCAGTTTGTTTAAATAGAAAATTCGAAATTACATACATAAAAAAATGTCTTGAAACAGACTGTATTTTAATATTGGATTATGCAATTTATTAATTTAATTCTATTTAATTTTAAGACATTTCCTTCTGTCTGAAATAAAATAAATATTGATAGCATTGCGTTCTTTATATCTTGTGTTTGAATTATACGAAAACATTTGTAGTTAATCGTTAATTTGCGAGTGGTATGGTAGTGTACTTCGAGGATAATTTAATTAAAATTATAATGATATATTAACTGATAGAGATCCCTTTATAGTAATGCATCAGTGATATCGCGCATATTTTATGTACCTGTACAATGGTCGCATCTAATAATTTATGTATCGTCGACGATGCGTTTTCAGAGAAACGGGTAACCGACATTACATAATTCATTGAATTTATACGAGCAGAATAGCAAACTGTATGGACTATAACGTCATAAATCATGACGGCTTAAAACAAGAAAAATCGAAGGACGACGGCAACGTAATATTTTTCGTCAAGAATGTTTGCAACATAATATAATACTTTTCAATAATGCTAAAGTGACGCAAATTTACTTTAAATATTCACAGTAAATGTAATTGATAGTTGGTAGAAAATTTTACTATATAAAAAGCTATTTGCATATACATATATTTTTAATTAAAAAGTTTTTATTAATCAGAAATTATTTAAGTATTTGTGTTTCTCATTTTTCAATGGATCAATTACGAATTGTGATTGCGATTGAACTAATTATGAGTGTCAGATCGTGGCTATAACAAGATTAAGAAAAATAATTTGTAATTTTAATATTTGATAATTAATATATTGCAACACCTTTTAAAATCTTATATATTCTAGAATAACATATTACCTATTGAAAGTGTTAAATGCAATGAATGTCCCATACGAGGAAATCGCTCCGAGGATTCATTATCGGAGCGGTTTCGTCGAGTTGCGTGGCACCATAGAGACATGCACGCTCTGCAGAGTGCTGTGCATTATAGATTATTGTTGCCCCCATTGCTACACAATCTACATAGATATACATTATCCGACCGTCTCTGCGTGTTCCATCACGGGCGCATTCGCAGCAGACGTATGCGAACACGCCTATATAGACCCGTTATAGCCATGTACTAACATTGAATGATGTCCGATCGAAGAAACAAATTTCCTATCTTTTATCTTTGTATCTGATTTAATATATTACGAGAACATTGCTTTCGATTATTTTTACAAAATTAACTTTAAGAAATTAATTAATTTCATTAATTTATTTCTAACACTTTCAATTGTTACACTTTATTTCACATCGAATAATTCCTCTCGTTTTGTATAACAACAATGCAATATCTACCCAATAATTTCATTCCTTAGATCTTGTTTGCGATGGTTCTGTTTACAGACGAAAACGAAGACTTATAATAAATAATTGGTCCTAATCGTACTGGGAACAGAACTATCCCATCTCGATGAGAAAACTCGTAGTATATCGTTTTACGAATACTCGAGAGATCTTCGCTCGACTGATTCTCAGTTGCTATCATTAATTGGCCGGATAGCAATTTCTGCACCATGATGCAGTCTTTCCCTCGATTTTCCCTTCTACAGTGTAATTTTTGATAAAGACAATACATATTTCATATCATTAAAAAGTAGAACGTAATTTTATAGCATGAAACTAGATATTTATTACGATAGGTCCTTAATTTTAAAATGATTAAGAGTAATTATATGAGTTCTCTGTTCCATAACAGACTATTCTCTCTCATAGATTATTTGTAATCATTAATAAGTATATATTTAAAATATTGTATATGTATAAATAAATTAATAATTTAATTACATATTAATAAACTTATGAAAAATCAAGATTAGATTAGAAAAATATGCAACTATTTAACATTATATTATATTATTATATATGATAAGATTGAGTTTCAATTTAAACAATACTATTTATAAAATGCTTGGAAACAAATAATTTAAATTGTAATAAGATATCGCAATTAAAAACGTTACCATAAGATACAAAAATTAAACATGGAATGTTGCTTGCAGAATGTCTTAAAAAGAAGCGTATATGTATATACAACATATACTGCAATATAATAAACTACAATAAAAGTATCACAATTTTAAACTGTAGTACATCCAATTTAAAGTATACTAGAACTAGATCATCTAGAGATAGCTGTATTAATTAACCAATAAAAATTCAAATACTCGCAAAAATTTTGATCGCTCGTGAGACATGAGAACAGCAATATAAAATTTTCAGTTGCTTTTAATATACGGCGGAAATTCAACAGTGCAGTGGCATGTTTTTTACCAAAATAAAATGTTTTTTCAAGCGAGCTCACATGACAGACGATATTGCTATAACTAAAATAACAGCCTTATTTCACACGCAAATTTCCATTTCGGCGAAAACCCCGCGTTCTCGCGTTCTCGCGTTCTCTCGTGTGATTTATATCTGGCTTGCGACCAACTTCGCTCGTAATTATCCGCGTAATTCGACCGATCGAACGATATGCTTTCGAATATCGCGATATCAAGGATCCGCGATTTTGGTATTTATTCCCGCATGTTCATAAATCGCCACGAATTATGCAATGCGCCCTACCACGCGCGCACAAATACGCCGCTATGACACAACCATTATCGTCATGAATTTTAGAAATAATAAATTTTTGTAACCATATTGTAAATCGTTACAGTTCGCAATTGCCAATTAAATCGTTTGGGTAACGTTAATAGTAATATTGCTTCAGATATACATATATCATATATGTACGCACAACGTATATGTGCATGTATACGAGTATGTATGTATATATGTACGTGTACCTATATGACACGATGTAATATAGTAGTTTACGGATTTTCCCGATGTCCCAAGACATAACCGTCATATATGTGGCTTTCGTATGAGTAGCATTTCCACAATATCAAATTACAAGATAGCATCATATATCTAATAGAGAGCTATTGATCAATAGAGAACTAACTATTCGGCGTTTCTTGAATAGGTGAATTTACACTCGTAACGGCGTGAAAACTACATTATTCTCATCGAATATTCCTCTATAGATTTTAAATGAAGCGGCAGATTGAATTCTGTGATGATCAGAGAGTGGTTTCTTTTGTTAAATTTCCATTCTTTTCTGTAGAACACAATACTACGTTTTATGTAATCTTACCCATTGTCACTGATATCAGCATTGTGTGATTATTTAAAAACTTTTTTATATAAAATTTTAAAATATGTTGAGGTAGGTATTATAGTTATTTTATTATTAATTACACTTAGCGATCAAGAGATGTTTTATCCGAGTAAAAACGCCAGATGATGTTCGAAATCTTTAATTTACATTATTTTTCATTGATAATTAATTATTGACTAGAAAATATTATCTTATTCAATTTAAATTAAATATTTCTAAGTAAAGTAAACGATAAACACGTACAAGATACAACCTGTAATTCTCTTTGCTCAAAAGGTCTTCACTGTTTACCATTTACCATTTACTGTTAATGTAAACGTGAGACCAACCATATGTTACTTCCGTTTCCTAGCCAAAATAACCATGGTCACTCATGGGTTACAGTCCTGGCCACAGCAAAAGACCACGAGCAGGGATGACCTCAAGTTTCACCCGTGGTATAACGGAATGCACAACTCGAGGAAATATCAAACTTTGCGAGCTTCATATCCCGCATCAATACTGAATTATGTGATGCTCGTGATTCGAATCTCTCTCCATCTCAATCGAATTCTGTTATCTCGATTTCAAGCAACTACATCCACATCTCTGTTCAGTAAAAAGATATTTGATCAAAATAAACAAAACAAAAAGGAAAAAGAGGAAAACATAAAATTATTAATATAATTAATATTAAAAAATAACCAAAAGTAATTTTAAATTTACAGAAATCCGAACATTATCGACCATCATGGGAGAAACGAGACTCTTTTGCCAGCTAGTAGAGAAAAGAGTCGATTTCGCAGTTTGTCCTGGGAACAATACGATCCAGTACATCAAAAATATTTAGAAATTGGTAAGTAATGTTATATCGTAGTATATTATATTTCGTGATATTTGATATGAATAGATGGATATTTTAATCAAACTATTACTACGCGAAATAGAAATAAATTTAACAAAATAACAACAAATTTTTTAATATCATTTTTGATTATCATTTTTTAAAGTATCTGAATTGAAATATATATAGAATATAAAATAAAATAATATTTAATTACAATAAATATATTGGAGCTACATTTCATATCAATTTTTCAAATGTCTATGCTATATTATATTATTTATATCGTAAAGTATAATTGAAATAAAATATATTCAGAATCAAAATAAAGAGAGAAACGAACGTACAATTATTCCCAGTAAAAAAAGTTCTGATTGTCATTGCACTAATTCAACGGATTAATTCGTGTGAACGTCAAGAATTAGCGAAACATGTTAATTCCTCTTTCTCGTTTTTACATAAAAAAATATTGAATGCAAATGGGTAGAAAAACAAAGATACTTTTAGTTTTTGAGCAAATATCGCGCGTGAGACCACACTGAAATGGTTCATTTCAAGAATAGCCACTCGACGTTCGATTAGTCTTCGCTTATCCGCGCATGAAGAAAGCGCGCTGCTGGCTGCCGAGTTAGCTCGAATTAGAACGGGTCAGATCCCGAGCGAGCTTTCATCGTTTCGGACGTGAAGAAAGAAAAGGCGGGAGATGAAGTGTCGCGCCAGGAACATGGCTTGCCACTCGTGTGTAGCTATTTGAGCTCAGGAAAGAGCGGCTAGAGACTTTCTGCGAAGTCATTTTTATTGTGAGAACTGTGCTCGAGCACGTCGCAGATGACGCGAAATGAGCCCTTTGACCTGAAAAAGCCTGGTGGCTTATTCTGTAGGCTATCCATTTACGTGTCCGCGAAAAATCGGACGCCCGCACTAATTACTTTTCCAACGTCACCATACTAATATCAATGGTATAACGGTAAAAATGCATTATATACATATTGTATAGTGTCTCTAAATTTATTTGAATAAGATTGATTTTTCAGTTTTTTTTATCAAAAAAGGATTTTTATCAAAAAAGGATTTTTATGAAAAAATTGTACTCTATATTTTTTTGTTAATTTTTTAATAAGATTTGTATTTCATCTTTTATATTCATTTTTCGTGTTCTTTTGAATTGTATAGAAGATATATTGTACGAGAGAGTATATACTGCTACACATAAAATAAACTCACACGTCGAAGGATTAGATTTAACTTGAAAAAATTTTTTATCGAGATCACACTGCCATGAGAGACATGACTGAAGGTGCTCACCATTTTTCATCGGAAAGTCTGGTGAAAAATCGCGTTGAACCAATAGCCTGCATTCCACGTTGCTCGAGTCGACTTGAGTTGACTCGAGTCGATTCTCCGAGACGCCCACGCGTGATCCGAGAAAAATGTGCTGTGAAAATGGAGCAGAAAAGGGCGTATGCTTTCCCTCCTTTCGTGATTAATTTTTTTTTTACTTTCGTCTCTTATCTAGCCGCAGTAAAAGCCGTCGCGTCGACTGAAATTTTACCTCCAGGGCAGAATTCTCACCAAAAATATCGGTATCTACGTATTCGTTAGAATTTACATTATGAAGATTTGGATTAATTCTCGCATTCATAAATATTGCGTGTGTTGAAAATCGTATGACTTTAAGAATTCTCACCAAAAATATCGGTATATCGTATCTACGTATTCGTTAGAATTTACATTATGAAGATTTGGATTAATTCTCGCATTCATAAATATTGCGTGTGTTGAAAATCGTATGACTTTTTATCTCATTAAATTTTTATAGTTTTCATTTAATATTATTTAATTTATTCATATAAGCTGCAGACCAGATTCACTTATTATTATGTTTTACAGCTTTAATAATAAGTTAAAATTTTTTATCACAATTGCACCTTAATTAATTTTTAAAAAATCCAATCTCAATATTCAGTTATTCAATATTGCACAATCTTACAGCACAACAACATGATCAACAGAAATGTTTGAACGTAATTTAAAAAATGTCGGGCATTATCGGAAAGCCTATTTCGAATTTTACGTAGCGAGGAAATTCAATAATCTTTTATTCCTTCGATTCGGTTTAATCATCGATTTCCGGCAAGACGGGCGGAGCTTTCGACCGAAACGAAAACAGCAATCGTCGGCTCGAGTGGTCGTTGTTTTACGTTTCGGCATTCCGCTTTTGTTCGCCCATCCGCTCTCACCGCAGAGTTCGCTATCTACATCGCAATAGTTTTTACCCCACCATCTTCTCCTTTGTAGCCACCCCTCTCTCCTCACATAAACGTGCTTTGCTTTAGAATCGATTAACCTTCATGTCGGTTGAAATATTGTGCCACCTTATTTATGCTATAATTGTTTTAAATGTTGTACATTTCTTGAAAAAATTGGATATTTTGATAATTAGATTTATTATTAGATGAAAATAATAAATCTACCATTAGATTTATCATTAGATTTATCAGATGTCAATAAACGCTTATAGCCTATGTTTTCTATCTCAACTCTTACAATATCACATCGTGTAAATATATGTATAACTGCATAGAAGTTTTTAAATCTATTTTGTATTCTCGATATTCTTCTTAAAACAGAGGGGCTTACTTAATTAAATAGAAACTCCAGAACGATCCAGAATCCTTAAATCCACTAATCCAAAATCTAAAGCCTTCTGTTCAATTCAAGAATTTAGTTTTATGCTATAATCTAAAACTTTTAATACCTCTCTCTGTTTGTAAAAGTGTATTAGATTCCGGGGACGTCTAAAATCAATAAAGTCTAAAATCTAAAAACCGGAAGAAATGCATTCGCACGAAAATGAATTTCTTTAATTAAAATAGATGTGTGTGTGACATAACGAATTTTTAATTGAAAAAAGTTTGGTTACGTAGACTGCATATAGAAATTAAAACAATTGCACATATCGTTCTCTTACTTCACAAATAATATTCAAAGAATTAAATTTTCCAAAAAATGAGAAAAACACTGTTTTGTGATAATAACAAAAATCACGTTTTTTGAGTTGTGTCTTTAGAAGTAACTAAATTTCTGTTGCAAGCTTCGCTAATTCACAACTACATGTAGTTGTTACAAATGCTATTAGTCGTAATTAAATCAAATCCCTTCATATTTTCTTCCTTTTTATTTTATCCAACTGAGAGCCCGTAAAGCCATGACGAGCGCGGTGTTGGGGTTTATATCCCGTTCGTGATGAACGGTGACATTTGACACGGGTGGACGCTGTCGCGTTCTCATAACACCGTATACATAAACATCTACAAGGTGTTCCATAAGCTTCGTAGTAAACTTGCATAGTATAATTTTACGGTATGTTTAATCTTTGTGTGTTGTCAAATATTTCATTAAGAATAACGTACAAGAGCACATGATTACACTATTTTTTATTATTACTTTTCAGAAACTCAACATGAGCACATGTGTTATTGACTTTTTATGAAAAAATAAGAAGAAATATGTAATTATTTTTTAAAATTTATTATATAAATAACACTTTTTATATTAATAAAGAAGATAATAGAAATGAACATTTGAATAAAAAGTGCACTTAATTAAACGTTTGTTAAAATTTAATTTAGAAATTTATCAAAAAATAATATGCTTCTAAAGTTGAATGACGGTCTCATGCAAAACTTGTGTAAACACCCTATATAGGAGCAGAGCGCGAGAAGCTTGCAATGGGTTGGCAAGGCGCGGCGACATGAAATAACGAGCTTAAATAGATTACGCGAAGATTACAAGGCAAGGCTAGCCAGCTTTCCGCGTGTACGAATTATGAGGCGACGCGTTCCGGTCAATCGATCATACCTATGCCAATAATAACTGCCAAAAGTTCAGTATCAAATTACCTTATAACTGAAATTGGTGAGGAAAAGGTTTAGTTAGTTATGGTGATACATGGTATACGTATATTTATTTACAAATTAATTTAATTAACTGAAAGTTTATATATAATTATAAATTAATTAGATTTAAGGACGTATTACATGTATTTTTTTAACAAAATGAAAAATTATGATAAAATTACCAATTTTTCTGTATCATATTTGAAATTAATACGAAATATTCGATAGCGAATTTAGAACCTAGATAAAAAATTATTTTAATACAAAACATGTTTATCAATAAAATTTATAAAACAAAAGTTAGCACCTACTGAACAAATTGGAGGTTGCTGTCCTTTGGGTGCTTTCCCTCTCTCCTCTTTTGAGAGAAGACTCTTCTTTATCCTAGGATTAAAGACGGGATGAAACCTGGAAAGGCTTGACGGTAGCGGCGTCCCAAGACTATCGTCGAAGTATAAAGCGCTAAACAGCAAGTTCATCCGTCGAACTTTCGAAGCCTCTAGACTTTGCTCTTACCGAGATTAGTCGGGCTGGGCCGGAAGTCCTACGGGAAAGTTAGCAATTTATTACAAAATATTGAAGGTGACATCGCCGAACTCGTGGACCGCTTTCTACTCTTCCCCTTTGGCTGTCTCGCGCAATAAATATCTCGTATATTGGCTTCCGTCGTCTTCTCGTATTCATTCAACTTTGTGTTACTTTGGCGAACCCAATGTTTACTATACTTAGCAAATTTGTAAAGAAAAATATGCGAATTATAATAAATCAATTAGTAGCTCGAAAAAGCAAAAAAAAATTAGTTTTTAAAAGTCTAAAATTTTTTGTTCTGCCATCTAAATTAATCATTAAAATAAAAGCTCACGATTCTCTTGTCAATGTGAATATTCTTGTATAAAATGATTTTTGCAAGCAAAAAACAGATTGAGCAAAAGAGAGAGAGCTACGAATTCTCAAGAAAAAAATTAAATAGAACCGACGATCTTTAATCAATTGTAAAACTTGTTATTCGAAGGAGATGCTCCAATTATTTGGCTTTAAACTACAGTCATTAACATTTGTATAATCTTAATGTTATTTACAATTTTAAACAAAAAATAAAACTCTTACTGTCTG